GGAAGTGGCGGCGTTAAAGTTGGCTGATAGAAAAGACCGGTGTTTTGAATGCGGTAAGCCGGGACACTGGAGAAGATACTGCCCAGAAAGGCGAAAAAGAAAAAATTTCAGACGGTATAATGCTTGTTCTTTCTTTCGTATGAACCTAGATTTAGTGGGGGCTATTGAGAAAGGGCTCTGTATTCGAAGTTGCGAGTGAATGATCGAGAAGTAGTATGTTTGATAGATACAGGGGCGGCCGTGTCGTTAATAGATAAGAATTTATGTAAGAGTGTTAGCCCGTGTTCATTGACAGTACAAACAGTAGGCGGGTATGTGTTGCGTATCACGGGTAGATCGAACTGTACGGTCGTTGTTGGTGGCTGCGAGGTGACGTTTCCTTTCATTGTTGTACCCGAACTACAGCGAACGATATTAGGAGCGGATTTTCTGCGTGAGATTGGTGCCATAATCGACACGCAAGCGAACGTGGTGGTCACGAAATACGGGCATATCAACATGTATGAGACCAGCGAGATAGCAGCGATTAAGCTGCCGACGGTACACAATGTGACAGAGTTAATTAGTAAATACGATCATCTGTTCACTGGAGATGGCGACCCATACGGTTATTGCGATAAGGTGAATCATGAAATTCCGTTAAGTGATCCGAAAGTAAGGTCATTTACAACGCGAAGAGTTCCATGTCATCTGGAAGGCGAAGTGGAGCGACAAGTGCAAGAGATGTTAAAAGATGACATTATTGAGGAAGCTGATAGCCCGTACAACTCTCCAGTGCTGTTAGTAAAAAAAGCGAATGGGAAGTATAGATTCTGTGTTGATTTTCGACAGTTAAACAGTATGACAGAGTTAAGACCGTGTGCCATGCCAACAGTGGTAGAAACTTTAGATCGCCTACAAGGTGCGAATGTGTTTTCGGTTCTCGATCTTCGCTCAGGATACTGGCAGATACCGATAAAACAAGGTGATAGAGATAAGACGGCTTTCATCGTGGGTCAGACACAATATCGATTTAAACGCATGCCGTTTGGACTAGCAGGTGCACCGTTTACGTTCAGACGACTGATGAAGCTATTACTTAGGAACTTGAAAAACGTGGAGGTTTATGGTGATGATCTCGTCATATACAGTCAAAACGAAAACGATCACGTCAACCATGTAGAAGCCGTGCTGCGACGCATCGAAGAGTTTGGACTACGCGTCAACAAAACCAAGTCCCAGATAGCCAAAAAGAATGTTACTCTGTTGGGACATAAAGTGGGAAATGGTGAGATTAAACCACTGCCGGAGAAAATTTTGACGATTAAAACGATTCCAGCCCCGAATTCAAAGAGAAAACTGAGACAATTCTTGGGTAGAGCAGCGTTTTATAGCCGCTTCGTGAAGAACTTCAATGAGATAGCAGCCCCTCTATACAGGCTACTAGGTGAGCCAAAGTTTGTTTGGTCGGAAGAATCGCAGAGGACATTCGACAGAATTAAACAGCTGCTCGACCACCAACAAATGACGCTAAAACTACCTGTGCCAGGAAGACAGTTCACAGTGTGCACAGATGCCAGTGACTACGCTATAGGTGCGGTCCTAAGACAGGACGAGGGAATCGTTGAGTATGCCAGTAGGGTTTTGACACTCGCAGAGAGAAAGTATTCAACGATAGAGAAAGAATGTTTAGCAATGGTATGGGCAGTCGACAAATGGAGACCTTATTTACTCGGCCGGCGGTTCCACATCGAAACTGATCATAAGCCGCTACAATTTTTGAAGACAGCGAGAGACCCACGGGGGAAGTTGTCACGGTGGATGTTGCGTCTTCAGGAGTACGATTTTACGATCTCACACGTTCCTGGAAGTGAAAATGTCTTGGCAGATTTGTTATCGAGACCAGAAGATGAGTCTGAGTTGCCCGAGGTCGCTTACGGAGTGCATGCAGTAGAACAAGACCCACTAAGACTTGCACGTAGGCAGAGGTTGGACGATACGCTGAATACAGTAATACAGGTGATCACCAACGGAATAGAAGTGGATCAAACTACGGCGAGTAAGGAGCTAACCACACTACTCAGACAGAGGGATCGACTCAGAGTGAATGCCTACGGGACTCTGACCTGGCGAGAGAACGACGGAAGCTGGCTGGCTGTCATACCTCAATCGTCGCGCCACGACATGATAGAAGAATGTCACCAGCTAGCGCATACAGGCGTGGCCAGAACGACCGATCTCCTAAGACAAAGTATGTACTGGCCAGGTATGAGAGAAGACGTAGCAAGATACGTACTTGGATGTCCACGGTGCCAGCTGATGAAAGGTGACCGGTATATACGACCACCACTTCAGTCGATTCCAGTTACCGCGATAGGTGACTTGTGGTCCGTAGATGTCATGGGTCCATTTCCTCAGACATCCAATGGTAATCAGTACCTCTTGGTGATGACGGAACACGCGACACGATGGGTAGACGCCGTAGCAATCCCAGACCAACGTGCAAGAACCGTGACAGATGCAGTAGTTAGACACATTGTTGCAGACCACGGCGTACCGAAGACAATACTGACAGACCAAGGTCCCTGTTTCGAGAGTGAAGAGTTTACTTCCCGTTTGCAACAGCTGGGCATCAAGAGGATCAGAACGACCCCATACCATCCACAAACGAATGGCCTAACGGAGAGAAACAACCGTACACTGAAGGAGTGGCTGGCCTCGAAGGGCGGGAACTGGGAAACGGAGCTTCCACTGATTTTACTAACACATCGGGCTACCACTCAGGAAACAACGAAGAAGTCACCCTTCCAACTGATGTATGGTAGAAAACCACGATTACCGGTACACAATGAGACCTGGCCCATGCACCAAAAGTGGAGTACGACGAAATTAAAAGCAGAGAGGAAAGAGGCAGTCAAGAATGTAATACGGAAGCAGCGCAGTGATGTCGCGAAGTCTCAGATGAAAGAAAGGACGCAGTGCATTACCTTTGCAGTCGGGGACCAAGTGAAGTGTAGAGACAGGAGATATACAGTTGGAGGCGGGCTAGGTTCACGGAAACTCCTTCCAAAGTGGGAAGGACCATACACAATCACAAAAAGACGGGGTCAAGTATATACCATCCGAAGAGGTGATAAACAGAAACGAGTTAACGCCAGTCAGCTCCAAAGATGGGTACAGTGGGACAAGCCGGTCAGTAACAATCCTCAACTAGAGGATGTAGCACCCAGAAGGTCGGAACGTCTGCGCACGAAGCTATTTGACGGGGGGACGAGTGTGGTGAGAGCAGGCTGCTAGCCGATTGGTTGGCACTAATCTACGTTAAGGTCTAGGTCACTAATATGGGCCGTGAGAAAATATGAACAAGGCTGAGTCAACAACCAATCACAGCAAAGTTAACGTGGCAAAATATGATTCGCAGATAGAGAACTCTATTTGTCAAGGAATCCCGAAACAACCAATCAGAAGCCTGCGTTTGTCTACCTAACTTCTGATAAACAACCAATCAGATGACTGCGCTTGTCTATAATAATGTAGTTGAAATATGTATAAATACGTGTTGATTTTCATAATAAAACGATCTGTTGCTTCGCCCTTGTCTTCTGTTGTTACACCGTGAATCCGAGTACTGGTCTCCGTGTCATCGATTGACTGAATCATTGACTGGTTGAGTCGACAGGGGAAGATGTTGAGTGGGACTCAGTCAGTCAACTCCGAACTCACTCCACAAGGATTTCTCTCTCACCATCTATCTGTCTATCGATCTATCCGCGTCTATCTGTCAATCTCTCCGAATCTCGCTCTCTTTCCTTGTCATCACAAAATCATTAAATCTCGTCAGTCAAGTAACTTAACAAGAGGTTCCTTTTATCTCCAACGACGCTTAAACCGACAATTACTGTGCACAACTTTGACCTAAACTCAAAAACACAAAGGCTTTTAATAAGTTCTATTGTTCGGAAGTTAAAATCAATACTCTGTACAAAGTCTATAAACAAATGTTTGACATCGCCAATGGTTACTAAATTCAATAAACAAACGTTCAGTTTTCATAATAATTGTTCACACTCTCCGGGAAAAGAGGGTCCATCCCTTTCTTCCATCATGCCGATAACCTTGAACTGAACTGAACTGCCAACGCTTGAACCTGGGCCAACAGGGACTAGACTAAAATGGAAAGCAAGACACAAAAGCCCAACACACAACAAGCATACCACATCAAACCAGTACGCCTCCCCGATTGTAGGATCTTCCTCAGTAATCCGAACTTTCCTTCGCCCTTTGTCGACAATACCACCACTGATCTGCTACTCGGGGTGTTCTTTGCTTTGTTTCACTTTAACACATTCCCCCACTTCGGCGTATCAAATCGCATACACTGACTCTAACACTACTCGATTCGTTCACAAGGTTAGAAGACTAGGAACGACTTCAGAAGTACTTACAATAACATTACAAGATGATTCACACAATGCGACAACTATAACATTAACGAATAATTAAATGAATCGGAACCCAATCAGTTACTTAACACAATATATATGTACAATCAATACATCAAATGTTGTGGATTCTGCCTTGACGAGCTACCCTTGAAGAATTGTACGACTTACAGCAGTACGCCTACATTCCTTCGAAGGTTCACGATCCAAGGGGAGAGAGGTCCGAACACAAACAAAATTTATCAACAAGTAGATGAAAGATGATTCCAAATCAATATGCACAACATGAACACATGTACAAAATAAATAAATAAATAATACAAAATAACACAAGAAGTACAATAAACTGCGCTTCGATGTACAACTCTTGAAGAATTGTAGGACTTACAGCAGTACGCCTACAACCCTTCTCAGGTTGACTTTCCAAGTTGGAAAATCATCGGATTGTCCAATCTCGGATCTGTCATCTAACACCTCAAACAAGCTTAATCTTCGAATATCTCACATCAACGTGTCATACATCGTCCAAACTTCCACTGTACTCACCAACCCATCATTACTGCATATTACTCCTAGAGGTCATTTACCTGTAGAAGTCTTATCCACCACTGCCTCGATAAAAGCTGACCTGAGAAATTCCACTGAGTCTATATCAAGGATCTGCTTTTTACCAGGCACGTAGTTAGTATTGCTGATACTCTCTAACCATGTATCATACTTAATCGTATCCCTCAATATCCGTGCACCAACGATATTGTCAACTTCCAGCTTTCTAAATCGGTGCATTTTCAAATCATCACCCCAAAACACCACAGCGTAGTTTTTCATGACTATAGCTCCATTTATCAGGATCATTGGCCCCACTACCACTCGGAAAGCACCCTCCCTCGGTACTATTGATTTCTCGTCCAAGCGGTAATTAATACCCTCATACTGCGCCACACTACTCATCGACTTCAGACGGCGCCCATACAACTCTTTGTCATCAACATTATAGACATCATCCAAACTGCATCCCACAGCAAAACCGTAGTCGGATATATAAAGTCCAGGTCGATTGATCCCCACCAACCTCTCCTTCATCACTTCTTTAACTCGATAATTGCAATCTCCAATTACAGGCCAACTGTGCGACACCGTCTGACTAACACTAGGTCCAAACAACACCTCTGCCACAGGTATTACACCACGAATTTTATCAAAAAACGCGTCCTCCGGAAAGCCCAATTCAACTCCTCTCTCCCCCTTATTATCCAAATTGATCTCAAACTGATCCACGTAGGAACTCATACTTGTTATTGCTTTTGACACTAATCTTCTTACATCAAGCACATCTATTACTCTTGCTGCACGGGAATATTCACGACCGACGTATCCATTCCCATAATAATCAGTGTATTCAAGCAAATTCATCTGCACTAGGACACCCCAACTCAGTCCCGCGTTACCGTCATCCTTTATGACCTTATCATCCAGTCCAGTCATTAAGCCCACTTTCATACCCCTTCGCTGTTCAGTGGCCATGCATATCATTCCTAACATACTCCTATTGTATTTCAACTGTTTATAATTGAGACCCGGAGTAACAATCTCTTTTGCCCATTGACCATTGATTAAGGCAGGGTTGAACTCACACTCAGTATCACAGTCTTCAATATCTATGACTATGTCTCCATCTTCTCTATTTCCCCCTACCTCCAGGACATGGTACTCCAACACGACACTGGTATCACTGCACAAATCCAGAACCAACGTACTATACCCAGAAGTGACGTATGAGTATGTTATTTTACAACGTGTATTCTCTGCACTCCACAAGCCCAATACTAATGACTCATACTCCTTTGGAGTCTTCTTCCCTTGTTGTAACACACTTACCACCCTTCGATGTCCGCAGGATAGCTTGTACGGTTCTTTTTCCAAGTCCACACCATTCATAAAATCAAGATAATCATTTAAACTGATCCGCCACACTATCGTTTTCATGCGTCGCCGGTAAAACTTCGTTAACCAATTACACGGTAACTCATCGGTGTTTAACAAACCTGTCCAACTAACATCATTTTCAGCCAGATCTTGCAATACTCTGTCCTTGAAAATACTTAACAACACCAATCCTACATCAAACGATCTACGGAGCGATCTAATGCACGATCTTACTTGTCGAATGCAACGAACCAACTTCCATTGACAATTAGTGGTACTATCTAATAAATTAGCGGCCAATACTTTCGCTGGGTTGACACAATTTAGCATCTCGAGAGCCGCGCCCGTCAAAGCAATCGCTCTATCTGACCCATGACCCAATTCTACCTGCACCACAACGTTGTTCACATCCTTCTCCACGGGTTTACCATCCACCAACTCCCAGCTTGAATGATACCGCTCTACAGTTATGTTAGGCACTATGACTCTCCCCTGTCTAATAGTGTTGCCAAAATCATCCTTCTCTTGTACAGCCAAACCAAAATAATCCAAATAATGAGCTTTCAAGCGATGCTGGATGCTATCGATGTTACCATTTAAACTGTGCATTAATTTATTCCAATTGGACTGTAAGGCCTTACTATAACTGGACTCGCTACCGAGATGCTGTTCATCTAGTATACCAATAAATACTTCCTTGCTAGAATCACAACAGCCTTGGTAGAAATCACACATATACTCAGACCTGCACAATCCATTTTCCACCAACTGTCTTAGGGCACTATTTTCTAAGTTCACTTTCAACTTTTCCTTTAGATACTTCAAGTTTCTAAGTCTGCTGTCCAAATCATGTACTTCTTCTTCTACATCCATTGAAATAATCAGATTACACGATCTTTGAACACTCAACTCCCTCAGGCAATAGGAAGCCTGCCAAAGCATAACTTTATTATCACGCCATGACACTACAGCCCCACACATGCGGTGCACGTCCATGTCCCAATTCTTAAACAAACGGAAAACCCTGTTGATGGCATCGTTCTTACGCCAGGTTTCAAAAGCATGAAAACTGTTTATAAAACCAACAGGAACGGGATCAACCACCTGTCTGTTCTTGTCTGCCAGCTCCGACGAAATTCGTTTGACATTTGAAGCTTGAACTAAGCCCTTATCTGCTTCCCCTTCTAACCAACGCTTCGAGCGATGGTAGCCATAAGATTGAAGAACAATCACTTCATTGAGGTGACAACCCAACACTTTCACTTCCGGAGAAACATCATCAACATCAAGCTTATCATGCTGAGCATCATACACATCATCACACATAACAGGCAACTCAACATCACTTACTTTTGTGTCTGCTACAAAAAAGCCTCGTCCCTTCTTCGACCCAGGCATCATCCAAAGTCACCAAAAGATCCTTATTGCGTTGAGATAATCCGTCTCCAAAATTCCTGACAGAAGACCAAGTAAGTACTCCCCAAAAGAGTTCCAAAAAGCACCCAGGAGATCTAAGAAGAGAATAAAGACAGTCAGTCAAGTAATTTAACAATAAGTTACTTTTATCTACGAAGACTCGGGCTACTCTAAAGAATAGCAGCCCAAACTGAAACGACCTTTGAACGCACATGTGCCCTTGAGCAAGGAATCGGGTGACTGTTAGTTCCAGAGGTAATTATGGATGCTCTACACCTTTCGCGTTGCAAACTCGCTCCGGATCTTGTTTTGATTACTGTTTGGACGACGGACTGTTCCAGAACCTATGTCGTTCGTTTTGAATTTACAGATTCCTTAGGTACTTTTCATAAGATGGATGGATGGACTTCACCCTAAGCTGTTAATTTTCTTGGCGGACATAGCATATATTCCGCTTACGGAGATTTTCCAAATGTCTCTGACGCAGGCTAAGCTACCCAGGGACTGGAAGGATGTCATTATAAGCCCTATCTTCAAAGATGGGGATAGGCAATTGGTATCTAACTACAGACCGATAAGTCTGACATGCATTATTGCAAAGGTATTGGAAACTATTATAAGGGATCAACTATTAGCTTATGTTGAAACACATGGCTTGTTGGCTGTGGAACAGCATGGATTCCGACCAGGACGATCCTGCTTGACAAACCTACTATTGGCTAGGGAAGACTAGGTTGAGGCCAGAGATAGGAGCCACCTGTTGGACGTGGTTTTTATTGATCTTAGCAAGGCGTTCGACAAAGTATCCCACTTAGGTCTCCTTAGTAAACTTAAAGGTTTCGGACTAGACCAATGCCTATGTGAGTGGTTCAGAGATTACTTAATGGATAGAAGGCAGAAGGTTTGAGTTAACGGTGTACTATCAGGATGGAAAGCAGTATCCAGTGGAGTACCCCAGGGAACTGTATTAGGTCCCTTGCTATTCCAATTATACGTTAACGAATTACCAGGGATTCTTTCGTCATCTTCATTATTATTTGCAGATGACATTAAGATATGGAAAACTGTAAACAATAACGAGGATAGGTCGGCCCTACAAACTGATTTAGATAAATTAGCTGAGTGGTCAAGCCTATGGAGTTTGGAAATGAATGCTAGGAAAAGCGCGGTAATGCACTTAGGTCAGAAGTCTTATGCGTCGTACTCCCTAGGGGACGCAGAACCACCTGATGTTAACAAACAGAAGGACCTAGGAATCATTGTCAGCAATGATTTGAAAACAACTGCAAATTGCAATGCAGCCACAGCTAAAGCTTTTCGAATGCTATGGGCAATTCGAAGGGCCTTCAAACGAATAGACGAGGGCATGTTCCAAATACTCTACGCAACATATGTCAGGCCTCATCTAGAATACTACATACAAGCGACGAGTCCATGCTTCAAAAAGGAGGCACATACTCTGGAAAGAGTACAGAGAGTAGGAACAAAATTAGTTAGTGGTATCTCACACCTTCCTTATGATAAGAGGATGGAGCATTTAAATCTCTTCCCGTTATCATATCGAAGGAAGAGAGGCGACTTAATCTTAGTATAATAATAATAATAATAATAGATATTTCTTCCTGTTTATGCAGGAACATACCAAGTGTACAGGCATGGATAAGTTATTATGTAAATTACACATAATTTGATGTATGATGAATTTACAGTTTGGTTGTTCTTTCTGACATTAGAGTCAGTCTGCTATAAAGTCTGTTTGTGTAGCACACAAAGAGATATAGAAATATTGTCTTCGCATTAACAAAAATCCCAGACATCAGATGAATGTAATACAGGTACCTGGGAAAAATTCAGCTCGAAGTCAAATAGACAAAAAGGCATGAAATAAAAACAACTGGCTTGAAAATAACTGTATTCAAGCCAAAAGTGGACATCATGATAGTACGGAGTATATTGGTATGATGGCGAAGTACAAGAATAGCGTCCCAGGAGTGCGAACGTTCAAATGACCTTGAACTAGTCGTTGGCTAACGCACCTATCATTATCATAGCTGAAATATTAACCCCATCCATCAAATAAGGAGCTAGTTTCACCCAGGTAACGCTTTTAATTACTGTTTGGACAATGTGTTAACATCTCGTTAGGGTTAGGATTAGGGTTAAGGCGAGTATTGGGGTTAGGGTTAGGTTTACGGTCATAATTAGGATTAGGTTTACGGCAGGATAACGATTGTCACTAGGGTTAGGATCAAGGTTAGGGGTAGTGTGAAATTTAGGGTTAGGGTCAGTATTAAGGCTAGGGTTGAGATTAGGAATAGATTAGTCATTTATTTCAACTTGTTTTATTATCCTCATTTTCCTTGTATGTAGTCATGAATGCTCTTACTGAAACCATAGTAATTTATCCGAGGGCTTTGGAGACGACTACACAGCAAGAGAAGAGAGATAAACGATTCACAAAACAGCACATCTTCATTCACTTCGGTGAATACATCTACAGAAACTAGTCCAAATTAGCAACTGATAATCTTCATCATAACTGGGGCGTATTTTTAAGTTGTCAGAGAAAGATAATCTGTTTAATGTGTTTTCATGCATTCTCTTGTGAATGTACGTCATTTTTTGTGCAAAAATTCCTCATTTTTTATGATTGGCTGGCTGAAGGTCACTCGTGCGTTCGCATCCCTTGGGACGCTGTTGTTGAACTTTGCCGGTATTATTATACATTGCAAATGAACGTTGTCGGCCTAAGGATTATTACTTCCCTACACCAGAGACCAAAGACTCGAGTGCGATCACATTTCTTTTCGCTTCGTGTTTGCCGTCTCTGGAACGCTTTACCGGCGGCCGTGACTACAGCGCCATCTCTGGAGATTTTTAAGCGGAAGCTAGACAATCATGCAGAAATGCAAGGTTTGTGTTTCAATGGCTTATCTTAATAAAATTTGAAACCAAACTGTCAATGAATAAGCGTACTAACTAAACCCCCACGACCTATTCTGCCTTCTCTCACTCTACCTTTTCCTTAGGTCACCTTTATTATTCCACTTATCTCAACCTATATTATCTACACTACAACCTATTATTATTATTATTACTATTCTGCTTTTATGACTGCACCGAATGACCAAGGGGAGTTAGGTCAAACTCCATTCACGGCTGCAATACAGTCCTAACATACTGCAGACTACAAACCACATCTCGACCAATCCCCGCACCACTCTTCCTGGAGTCTACCAGAGCTAGAGCAGTCGAGTGTCGGGACTTACTACGCAGAAGCTCACCGAAGATCTGGAACCTCTACCTCACAATCAAGAAGCGAGCTCAAAGAAATCACTGGTTTATACTAGCTCGTCATCAGGATATTGGATTCCCATTGTTTTCTATATATATGTATTTACTAATGATATATTGCACTTACTAATTTTATTACACTTAAATGATTCACTTTAGCACTTTAACTTTTCTAAAACAGCTTCCAATCCCTTGTAAACGTTGCACTTACCTCAATATTGGTTGATTATCGTATGCCTACAACCACGGGATGAAAACGAAACCAAACTGATTTTCCCGCTCAACCTGGAGGACAACTGTACAATTCAATAACTATACGGCCTGGTTCAGACAATGAATGTAATTATATGTATGTATATATCAAATATATAACTGTCGAAACATCATTAACTTGTAGACAATGTAAGATTTGGAAAATTTTCTGTGTGAATAATTTTATTTATAATTTGAGGAAAATAGATGCAATATTGTGATTAATGCTGAAAATTCCATGCTGTATCACAAGAACCGTTATTAGAATAAAGTAAATCATTATTATTATTATTATTATACCATACTTCATCGTGCCTGTAAAAATTGCATGCATTTTCATGTAAATTTACATCTATATAAAAATACAAATTATTATTATTATTATAATTCTCCTATCTAACTTTGTTGTGAACAGCACCCTTGGCTTAAAGATTATTGATGTATTATGTTGAGATCAGTGATATATTTATTCCATTTTTGCAGTAGTCTTATCGTAGTTTTATATCAGGAGGGAAATTTGATCGTGGATGCGAAAACTAGATGAGGTCATGTGAAGTTGTTTTACTGCATCAAATGGTGCCGAGGTCGATTCCAGAATTCTCCATTTACTCCATTTTTGTCTGCATGGCTGACTGTATTCGTAAGTTGAGTAAAATGTTGAAAACTGTTCGAAAACCAGTTGCTTCTTCATTTCAGATCATGAATACTCATTTACAGCATGTTCGCCAGCGTCTTCAAATGGTAGAATTGGATCGTTCCTGGAATTTGAGTGGTTATGAGATAGACGGTTTGGAATTAATCCTCATTTCAGTTTAGGTGCAGGGTTGTTCGACCTCGACCAGAAGATGAATAGGAGTAGCAGAGTACCAAAAAGAGAAAGTATGTGAACATGAAAAGGACATTTAATATTG